CCGGGGCTCTGCCCGGGCCCGCCCTGGAAGTTCATGGCCAGCGACAAGGCCCGAGGAGGGCAAGGAGGAGGGGAAGTGGCCGGGCAGGTGGCGGCAGCAGAGGAGGCAGGCGGGTGAGTGGGCAGCTGGCTCAGTGCGAGAGGGAGGGGAAGCGCGCGGGCGGGCCCGAGAAGGGCGAGAAGGAGGGGAAGTGGCTGGCCGGGCAGCGGCAGCGGAGGAGGAGGGGAAGCGGCTCTCCGGCGGCGGGCTCTGGCTGCTCAGGCATGGCCGGCTCTGCTTTTCTCCCTCCGTCCGGACTGACCGCCTGCCTGCCTTCCTCCCCAACCGGCGCGGCCCTACGTCACTCACTCAACGGAGACGGCTCCTTCCTGGCCCAACTGAAGTGCACCCGGCGTATAAGATGACCCCCCCATTTGGAGGCATGTTTTTTGGGCCCAAAAAGTCGTCTTATACGCCAGCAAATATGGTACTTACTGTTTTTAACTTTAAATATTGTATTCTAATTATGTAAGTCACCTCGGGTTGTTTTAAGGAGAAAGGCAGGGTAAAAATATTTTAAATAAATACTTTTATAATGCAGGTGTGTGAATATTTTCAGTCTTCTGAAATGGATTAACAAATCTTTAGGTTTCAGCCTGAAAAGAGAGTAAATCCATCTAGGGAACAGGTATTTTCCAGCTGAGATTATCCCATGCTTAGGAGTTTAGATCTGAGTGCAAAGGCACTCCTCTGTCTAAGTTCAACTGGCCATCACAGAAGCTCTCTTCTTAGAGATGCTACTGCTTGATAAACTAGCGAAAAGTTCAGTTGTGCAGTGGTGGTTCTGCACAGGCAGCTGCCAGAACTCCTTTGACAAAGGAGAGGAGAGTCCAGCCCACATTCTGCAACATGCCCTCCAGGGCAAGGCCATGTTTTTCTGTGCTAGTCCTAAAAAGACGGCTAAAGCATGTATCACTCTAACTTTTGCAGCAAGACCTGTGGAGGACACTGTATCTTGTTAGTTCTCCTCTCCTCAACCGCCAAAAGGAAAGCCCTTACCCAGCTGCCCACACATGTTGATTAACACGAACAGAGTTGCTAAGAGTACGCCGCTCCCCCAGGAGATGTTGATGTAGTCCCGTTGTTCATTCCATTGGAACCACATCCTGATGCCATCCTCCAGGAATGTGCTAATGAGACAGAGGTGAGCCAGATGAGGTAGGTAGTGCTTTGTCACACGCAAGAACTGCAAAGAAAAGAGGACCGCATTAGATGGCAGTGCCAGAAATGGATGCCAAAATGTTTTTGTAGTTGTTTTGACTTATATAACACCCCATAGTGCTAGAACACTTTCTGGGTGGTTTACAACATGATTAAGCAAAGAACACTTTGCCCCCCTGCGAGCTGGGTGCTGACTTTACAGACCTCAGAAGGCTGACTCAACCTGAGCCCCTCAGGATCGAACTCAGATCATAAGCAGAAGCTTGTCCAATACTACAGTTCAACCACTGTACCATCTCTAAATATGCCTAACCTTAGTGCCAGGTTTGGTCAGCAGTGACAGGTATGTATAGATACCAATTTTATAGATGCAAAAATCAGAGGCTTTATGTTATAACCTGGTGTTCTAATCAGAAGCAGGATGGTTCTATAGGTCAGCCTTAGATCTTCAGATGAAAATTAAAAAGGTACTAGGACCCTACGTGTCGTTACGATTCCTTATACTGCCTTGTGATAATAGGAGACAGAACAGTAGTATAGAAGCTACTTTTTCAATGAAAAGCAGGCTAAATCCTTTGTGTTGCAAGACATAAATTAACCTGCCAGCGACCCTCTTTCCTCCTGCTCCAATGCCTCCTAAGAAGCTTTGTGCCCACTCTAGGCCAGTTCCTTAAGATGTGGTGACAGAATAGCTACCTAGATAATGAACAGGGTACTGCACTTAATTTCAACCATCCACAACATTTTCCAAGCTCACTGTCCCTAGCCACACTGTTGTGGACACGAAGAAAGACATGTGCCTGGATGCTGTCTTTATCTGCTTTGCAGAGATGACACCTTTCATACCAAGGATTGTACCTTCATCATTCACGGAGAGACGTTATCAAGCACTACCAGTCACACAAGCCAACTGTATATGACTTCTAATATCAATGCAGTCCTCAATACTTGTTGTGAGCTTCCCGCAGGCCTGGCAGACCACTTGGAGAAGAGAATGCTGGATCAGATAGCCCTTTGCTTGGATCTGAGACAGCTCCTCTTATGTTCACCATTACGTATCTCAGTGCTATTCAACAGCTATTCATAACACATGAAACCATAGTACGTACAATCTTCTTTACGGCATAATCACAGTACTGTACAGTGTAAACTATATATGCAAAATGCCTTGGTTAACAGAAATTAAGATCTCTGGTAGCTGTCCCTCTTAAGACACAGAAACCAGTAGCTTGTCATTCTCCACTCCAGCTACTGAATTACACACCAGCAAAGGAAAAAACAACGGTGACACCATTGTGGGGGGAGGGGTCTGCTACAGACTTTGAATGACACATTCCTACATCAGATCATCAAACAGTTGTAGAAGACAGGTATATGTAGGTAGTAATGGGAGAGGTCAACAACCTTGGTATCTGTGGAAAGTAAAAAAAAAAAAAGGAAGGTCCAGCAAATTCTTCATGTGGGTAGCCAGGAACCTCATCTTCCAGAAGATGGAACAAAAGAAAAGTTGTTCTACATCTGGACCTTACCAACAAGGAAGAACTGGCCAAAAAAGTGGAAATTGTGGCATCTTGGGGTGAAAGTGATCATGCCCTCTTGGGATTCTGAGCAAAAGGAAAGCTAAAACTGACATAATGTACATTCTGGAGTTTAGGAAAAGCAATTTCAATAAGTTCAAAGAAATACTGAGTGATCAAGGATCTCACGTCAGAAATAAAGAGAAGGAAGTATGGTGATTTCTTAAAAGTGAGATATTGAAAGAACAACCAAAAACAATTCCAACTAGAAAGAAAAATAAGAGACATCTAAAGAGGATGGCTGCACAAGGAGCTTTTAGATAAGCTAAGACTTATAACGAGCATATACTGGAAGCAGAAGGAGGGGCAAAAAACCAAGAAAGAGTATAACTGAATAGTCAATATTTGTAGGAAGAAAGTCAGGAGACTAACTTGCAGAATGAGCTCAGGCTAGCAAGCGAGATTAAAAATAGCTAAAATTGTTTTTCAGCTGTGCTTGGAGCAAGAAAAGAACAAGGAAGTAGTGGGCTCACTGCATGTGGAGGATGGAGAAACACTAGTAAACAAAAGAGACAGAAGAATAGCAAAACACCTGCACTGCTTCTGTCTTCTCTCTAAAAGACCCAGCTGTGTCCGCCTGGGTACTCGGTCCAGCACCAGTGTCGCTCGGAGGGTCGGGCAGGGGGAGTTGCTATAGTCTATAGGAGTTCTATCTCCTTGACCAGGCTTCCTGTCCCTTTGAGAGGAGGTCTTGAGGGCCTGTATTGTGTGTTGGGCTTGTGAGACAGATTAGGGATTATGTTGGTGTACCGTCCACCCTGCTGTGTACCAACAATCTCCCTGCCTGAGCTGACGGAGGTAGTCTCGGACCTGGTGTTGAGGACTCCCAGGCTGCTGGTGCTGGGGGACCTCAACATCCATGCTGAGGCTGCCTTGACTGGGGCGGCTCAGGACTTCATGGCCACCATGACAACCATGGGGCTGTCTCAATGTGTCATCGGCCCGACACATGAGAAGGGCCATACCTTGGACCTGGTTTTCTCAACGGAAGATGGTGGTCTGGATGTGGAGGGGCTGGTTGTGACCCCATTGTCATGGTCAGACCACTTCCTGGTCAAGTTTATTCTATTAGCTTCTTCTCCCCTCTGCAAGGGTGGGGGAATCCATTAAGATGATCCGCCCTCGGAGACTAATGGATCCAGATGGATTCCTGAATGCTCTGGGGGAGTATCCGTCTGATATGGTTGGCGCTCCTGTCGAAGCTCAGGTCACCCTATGGAATAGGGAGATGACCCGGGCGGTTGACACGATTGCGCCTAAGCGCCCTCTCCCTGCTCGCCGAGCCCAGACAGCTCCCTGGTATACTTCTGAACTGCGGGCGATGAAGCGAGAGGGGAGACGGCTAGAGCGCAGGTGGAGGAAGTCCCGCTGGGAATCCGATCGAACACGACTTAGAGCCCATTATCGGGCCTATTTCGTGGCAATACGGCTGGCGAAACGGCAATATTTCTCCAGCCGCATTGCTTCCTCAGAATGTCGTCCAGCAGAGCTGTTTCGGGTGGTCCGGGATCTTCTTCAACCGGGAAACCCGGTGGAGGTCCCGGACTGCTCATCAGCTCGCTGTGATGAGTTTGCTATTCATTTTGAGGAAAAAATCGCTCAGATTCGCAGTGGGCTGGACTCCACTGTTACTGCAAAATCGGAAGATGTGTCCAGTGTGCCGTGCTTAGGTCAAACTTTAATGGATGAGTTTCAATTGTTGAGACCCGAGGATGTGGACAGGGTGCTTGGATCTGTCCGTTCTACCACCACGCCGCTCGACCCTTGCCCATCTTGGCTAATTGGAAGATCTGCCAGGGGGGTTCGCACTTGGGTCCAGGAGGCCGTGAACGCCTCTCTGAGAGAGGGAGTGGTCCATACCACCTTGAAAGAGGCGGTAATTCGACCACTCCTTAAAAAGCCTAACCTGGACCCAAGGCTGGTGGTCAACTACCGACCAGTGGCGAACCTCCCTTATTTGGGCAAGGTGTTGGAGCGGGTTGTGGCCGGGCAACTCCAGGCGCTGCTGGATGAAACGGATTTTCTGGATCCATTTCAATCGGGTTTCAGGCCGGGTTTTGGTACAGAGACAGCCTTGGTCGCCCTGTATGATGACCTTTGCCGGGAGAGAGACAGGGGGAGTGTGACCCTGTTGATACTCCTGGACCTCTCAGCGGCTTTCGACACCATCGACCATGGTGTCCTTCTGGATAGGCTGGCTGGGTTAGGAGTTGGGGGCACTGTTTTACGGTGGTTCCGCTCCTTCCTAGCTGACCGTATCCAGAGGGTGGTGCTGGGGGACAGTTGCTCTGCCCCATGGCATTTATGTCATGGGGTTCCTCAGGGCTCGATACTGTCCCCCATGCTGTTTAACATCTACATGAAACCGCTGGGAGAGGTCATCAGGAGGTTTGGGCTGAGGAGTCAGCAATATGCTGACGACACTCAGCTCTACCTCTCGTTTTCCACCAATCCAGGTGAGGCGGTTTCTGTGCTGAACTCGTGTCTGGACCTGATAATGGACTGGATGAGGGTTAATAAATTGAAACTCAATCCAGACAAGACGGAAGTGCTGTTAGTGGGTGCTTCGCCGGACAGGTTGGAGGGCCACTTCCCTGTCCTGAATGGGGTTACACTCCCCCTAAGGGACAGGGTCCGCAGCTTGGGGGTGCTCCTGGACCCCAGTCTAACACTGGAAGCCCAGGTGGACTCGGTGGCCAGGGGCGCCTTCCTCCAGCTGCGGAAACTATACCAGCTACGGCCCTACCTGGACGAGCGGAGTCTCATGACAGTTACACACACACTGGTAACATCT